CACACACAGACACACACACACACGCGGCTCCTCGCAATCGCTATCGATCACCTGTCCCCGCGACGATCGTTCTTCATTTAGGCCTGTTCGAGCGCTAACTGCGCGCCACCTCCGCGTATGCTCGCGGTTTTCCCTGAAATTCCAGTAGGAACCGGTTCAGACGTCGATCATCCCTCCTTCCCTCTCCGAGGACTATCAACATGCGAATACTCGCGCGATAATTGGCGCCGTTGGATCAGAGGGGAGAGACGAAAGGTGCGCGTGCTGTTGGTTTCGAGGACGAAGGAATTTTCACTCGCTATGAAGGAGAATTTCTCACACTTTCGTTCCGTTCTTTGCTCCTCGGGTTTGAGAAAGAGTTGAGCGCGATAATTGATCAGGAGAAGGGGAAGGATCGGAGATGGTGTGCTGCTGGTTTTCAAACCAGCAATTTTCCTCGAGCGAGGAATTTGAGGAATTTTGCTAAAGAGAATCCCTTGTCGATGCCATTTTCTCCCGTCATTGTTCTTCCATATTCTTTCCAGTTCGTGAAGAATCGTATCGAGATAATTGAGAAAGATTATGCAATATCGAAAATTATTGATTCAACTTGGATCTTGAATATACGTATTGAAACTCGTACGAGATAAATAACTGCGGGTTGTGGAAAGGTACACCGATAATTTAATCAAACGATCGATATCGCGAAATACGGGTTGCTTTGTTCCAAAGTAGCCGCGGATTTCGAAAATGGTTCCAATTACAAAACTCATCTTGTCTTGTGCCGGATTCCGGGGGGAGGAGTTCTAATTCCGTGGTGGTAAGCTTCTATCCATCTCGAATTTCGGTTTCTATTCGATTTTTAAATTCTCATCCCGGGCAGGAAATTTTTATTGCTCTTTGACGCGGGACAAAGTGGAGCGGCGGACGGTGATTGGTGCGTGTTCAATCGAGGGATATTCTTTATGGAAATGGCGAGTATCCGAACTGGAACACAGTCGGGTCGGAATTGAAGTCGGATAAGGGACTAGTAAAAGTAATCATCGATGGCTTTGCTTGAAACTCTGTAACGATTCGGGGAATGGATTGGCGGAGGAGTGAAAGAAGCGTGGCACCATTCCCCCCGGAAAAAAAGGAAGCAGAAAAAGAGAGGAAGAAGAAGGGAACGCGAAACAAAAATTACGAGAGAGGGAATCTTTCTTCTCTAAATCCTGTTTCTTGCCCCCTGCCGCGTAATGCTGTCCCAATTTCCCACCGCTGCTATTCCCACCACGATAAGAGAGGAGAGAAATATCCGCGTAGGAAACAATTTCGATTCTCTCGATATTTTTCTAATTCTAAACGTCCATCTTTCCATTCCCGTTCATCTCGATGAATATTAAACAAGGGTGGAAATCGAGCGGAAATCAATCCGATATCGATCGGGCAGCGAGTCTAAGAGGGCCGATAAGTTAATGGAAAGTAGCCCGGGGCGAGGATAGATCGAACGTACATGGAACCATTATGGAAATCAGTACTTATCAGTCTGTGGAAAGGAGGAAGATGAGGAAGATGGGGGAGGGTTTTAGCTAGTCGTCTAACTGGATCACGCGCTCTTCGTCATCCGCGGGCCCGCAGTGAACGGCAGGAAGAGGGAGATAAGGGAAACGGCTTCCCTCCTTCCCTTATCGGTCACGCCCGAATTCTTTTCCTAGAAGAATCTATCCGGAAGATTTTCGCGATGATGCCTCGAGATATCGGCCGTGGTTGCCGGGAACGAGCCGATGGGGGATCTCGGAAATGGCATCATCGAATTTCATCATCGTTTCCATATAGTTCAGCGGGTACGAGAGTAGCAATGTAAGAAGGCCAATATTCAGCCGACTCGGCTCGACGTGATCGAATTAACGTATTTGAAAGCAATTGTTGATTCATCGATACATCCGACACGGTAATATTGTCACTCGTGCGGTTATAGGAAGGCTCGGTTAAATGGTTAAATAGTTAATTGGGGATCGGAATTGTTTCGAGTTGTTTCGCTAGAAAAGGCATCGAGAAGAGAAGTCAAGGAAAAATTGGCCCAGTTTCCGAGGACTCTTACCATCAGACTCGATCATCGACTTTAATTAACCTCCGGATGGGGACAGCAGCAACACCCAGAGCACACGAGCACTCAAGCGCGCGAGTCTTCCTTGGACATTTTAAAGGTTGAGCGTGAAACGCGTACCGATAATCCTTCTAATTCTTCAACCCCATCTCGATTTCTACGCGTGCAACTCCGCTCGAGGCGGATGAGGATCGCGGAAACAACGATACGTCGCGACGTGGAATTTCATTTATACGCTTTTTATTTTCTTTTTTTTTTTTTACACCACGATGTTTCCTCGTCCCTCGATTCTTGGGAGCGATTTCTTTGATTTTCCCCCCCTCCTCCCCTTTTATTTTTCGATATCAAACGGAAACGTTGAACAACTTCACAGAAGATGAAGAAGACGAAGGTGCAAATATTCCTTTCGTCGCACTCGGCAAATTCTGAAACAGAGAAAGAAAAATAATTATTAATGATATAGAAAGTTGAAGAGAAAGCGCGCAATTTTCAATTTTCGGAAATTAAAAAATAGATAATCGTTTTTGAAAGGATATCCCTTCCTTTTTCGTCTCGGATAGAAAGCGGAGGGAAAGCGGCATCGTCGAAACGAAAACCAATGCACGATACGAGTGCATAGAATACACGGTATAAAAGCGGCTCAAGCTTTCTCAGAATCGCGAGGAGATAGAGGCAAATACGTTCTCCCTCCGTTTCGAGATCGCATGGCCCTCTTCAAAATCGATAAGTAAACGCGAACCGTTGGATAGTTAGAAAAGGCGAATACATAAAGTTATACGGTCGAGTTTTTCGTAAAAGCGTATCGAGATAAGAAACCTTCCGAGAAGGGGATCAGAGATCCGGATCTAAACAACCTTATTTCGACCTCGATGCAAAATATCCAAGATGTAGGCTCGAAGAAACTATCTTCGACGAAGATAATCCATCCGTAATCGATCTATCAAATAACGTTGCGTCGATGATCGATAAAATCGAACCAAATATCGACGCGAAAGAATTTGAGAATTTCGAAACAATCTCTAATTACTCCTCCTCCTTTGTCCTCCTTTCCTCGTGCTCGTGTGAAAATTTACCTTTCTCTCTCTCTCCCACACGCGTCAAAGCATTTCTTTTTTCGCGATTTCGACGAAACTGGGTCACTCGATCGTTCCAATTAGCCCGGTTTAATATTCTCCCGAATTGCCATTCTTACGATTGAATCGGCTGGGCTCAATTTCGACATAACCTTCACCGCGAGGCGGACCAAGGTAAAACCCAATCGACTCGAGCCCCGAACGGACCCCGACCTCTTTCCATTGTTTCGTTCGATCGAATAGCTTCGCTGTTCCCACGTTTTCGCCTTCCTTTTCGTTTTCCACGCGGCGGGGGCGTGGCAAGAATGGAAGAACAACGGGTTGTTCGACAACGGGGCGCAGTTTCGCGTTCAATTAACGCCGTTAAACAGACTAATCGGAGGGAGTGGAGCGGCACCAACTACCGACAGCCACCGCTGCTATACCTATACCTGGATCCACAGTCGATTAGACAACTACCCAATAAGTGGCTCCGAGACGCGGATATTATCGGGGGTCGCCGAGGGCGAATGGCGGAGGTTGCCTCCTGCTCTTGCAACCGTAATTGTACGCTTCTGTCTGCGCACAGAGATACACAAGGAGACGAAATTTAGGAGGAGGATCTTCTAAATGATCGATCGAACAATATTACAACCTTACCAATTATCGAAAGTCTTGACTAAAAATTCGAAAGATACTTTGAATTGTTCATTTTTCTTTTCTTTTTTTTTTTTTTTTTTTTTTTTTTTTTCCTTTCAACGAAAATTAAAACACGTCCAATCACTTTGCATCGTCGATGAGATGAAAGAAATGAAAGCTGTGGATATTTTTAAAAGGTGGGGAGGAAGAGGAGGAAAGGAAAGAGATGGTGGTGGAGAACGACCACATAGATAGGTAGCATGAACAGATAGGGAGCTCATTAACCGCGCCACACTCCATTAGACGGTTGATTACTCCAAGCGCAAGGATAATCCGCGTTGTAGTCCACTCGTTCGCATGCCAAGCGTCGCCACACGCTCGCGCTACGTGCTCGCGCTACGTTGTCACGCGAGTTGCGTTTCCTCTCTCCTCCTGTCATACACATGGCTGCACAGACGCAGCTGCACGATCATATATATATATATATATAATAGAGCTTACTAGCTAATGCATGTGGCCGCTAGACTATTTGAGTTTGCCAAGTAGTAATAATTGTTTCTAGGAGGAGGCAACGGACGATAGTCGAATAAGGCCAAGTCCGACCGATCCGCCCCGAGCTGTATTGCTAACGTAGCTGCTTAGCTTCAATGTATATATACCGAGCTATATCGGATTTTGAAGGTAATTTCGACCTCTCCTGTCTTCGAATTTCGGAATATTTCTGTATTCCTGACGGAAGAGTGGGCTTCCACTAAGTACGTACAACTCGTAAAATTGACAAAATCCTCGGCGCGAGAGAGGATACGTTGCACGAGTACAATGCTTGTCTAAACTAAATGACTGGTCTTTGCCACTTGTCCGTACCATAATTACCCTGCTCTATTTCTTTAGTCATTGTGTTCCCTTGACTTCTACTTGCCTTGCCAACACACTTGCCCTTCCACCATGTTCCATCGTAAGACGTATTTTCTGCTTGGATATTATCCTCTTTTGTTAACGAATAATCTGTTCTATATGCTCGTTATA